TTTCCTTTAATATAAAATATTTAAAACAATAAAAAATGTGGTCATATTCGCATTTAAATTCAAGTTTTTTAATGGTTTTTTTAAGATTTAAATGAAATTTTGAATTTTGAAGAGCGGGTTAAAAAGTTATTTTTGACTTTCTCGTATAAGCCATAACAAACGGCCTCGAGCTCTTCTCTATCAAGCTTCAAATTTGGTTTGGGTAAGTTCCGTACATTTTGAATCCTAGTTTTCCCGTTAAATTGAAGGGAAATTTGTTTTTACCTGGTTTTAAATACAGATATAGCAAAAAACAGATATTTGCTATGATATGTGTTCGGAAGCAGGCCAACTAAGAACGATTGCGATAAAAAAATTGCTAGTAGTAAAAGAGGGTTTAAAGAGAGTAATTACACCAAGATTTATGTGGAAAATCCTTTCTACATAAAAGGGATTAACCCACGAGGCAGCAGAATTCGCTAATCAACTTCAATCAAGAGTGTAAGAGGTTCATCCACAAGGAGAGCAGTCAAAAACACGAAGTCCACCTTTTACAAGCTACGACGTCACCTACTCCAAATTATTGAGCATGTGCTAGCCACTCTCTCTAAAGAGTACGCACAACTTATTTGAAGCTTGGATGTACAATTCATGTAGAAGAACAATGAGTACAAGAGTCTCTTGTGTCTTATATTTGAATGCAAAGGAACCTTGGATGTGTTTAAAACCCTAATCCCTCTTTCTCGTCTTTCTCTCTTGTGTATGCTGTCTCTCTTTATGTGTCTTTCAATTTTTCAAGACCACTCCGAGGAGCTCACTTCTAGTCATAGGGAAAAACTAGGGCCATGGGCCATAATACTCATGTTTATCCCATCAATCTCATGGAAGCATATAGCCCAAGAATAGGTTGGGTCCCCTCAACATTGCCCCGGTCGCTTCAGTTTGCCATCTTTTCTAAAGCTATCAAATAAAGCTAAAATACGCTGAAGTGAAATATGTAATCTCTGTATTTTCCATAATAAGGAGTACATAAGATACTCATAAATTTTACGGGATGACTATCTAAGGCAACGAGATATTACAATATCACTCACAATAAATTAATCGAGGTTATGTACGCAATCAAAGGAGATGCGCATAATCATGATGAAATTGAGGGCTCATGAGGTATGCTGTTACAAGACGCAGATTTAGCTGATGATGTCATGTATGACGCTTACCTAACCTCTTCTCGTCTTTTAACATGCGAATGGCACATTATCCTGTAAATGCCTGATTTATACACAGGGAATGCGAGTTTATATCAAATCTTAATCTTCACCTTCTCTCTAAAGATAAGAAACTGTACACACACAATATTCAACTGCCTCACCAAGATGAATAAATTTTTCCATTAGCCAAATTAAAATGTTTAGGATTAAATTGGCCAAATTGAAATGTTTATAATTGATTTGATATCCGTACAATAGATTTATGACTTTTTTGGTAATTTTTCCCACTTCATTCTGATCAATGTCATACAATTCCCGATCAATCAATTCCTAGTGAATTGAGGATTGCAGTCGGGCAATTTACTCTATTACATATGTTGAGAAGATTGTCTATGTACAATTTGGCGTACTCACAAAAAAATGAAGTCACAATTGACAATGAAAAGGTAAAACACACACAATATATAATTCTGGCCAAGTGAAAACACACACAAATATATTATGTATATAAAGCGCCATATTTGACAAAGGAGCCACTCCGGCGAAATAAACAAAGGCAGAACCTGGCTCTAATTTCATGTTATAATGTTCAATCCAAAAACTTAAAATTAATAGGTGGAGGAGATTATATGTATATAAAGATCATATAAATCCCGTAAACAAGCGATGTTGGATTCTTTAATATTGTATATTTTTGCTTTGACAAAAATAAAAATACTGTATATTTCTCATAACTCGTCTGTAGCTTCAGTATGGAAGTACCACGTGTACATTAAAAGTCACTCATCACTCAAAAGACGTGCAGATTGGATGGAGCGGTTTGTAAGGAAAAATAATATAATCATGAGAGAAAAGAACAAAAAGGATTTGAAGGGATTTTGTTATAATGTTATTTAGATGCTCGCGAGAGAAAATGAAGGAAAAGAATGTATTATGGCACAAATACTTTTTTTGTTTACTTATAAATATATGTAAAATAAGGGCAGGGTGAGAGAAAAGAATAAGTGTATTTATTAACACATCAATCCTTCCAATCCTTTCGAATCCCTCCATATTTGAAGAAATTCGAAGGGATTTAAAATGTATACCAAACCAATTCTTCCTAATCTCTTCTAATTCTTTTAGTTCCCTCCATCTGTTTCCCTCCATCCAAATGCAATTATGATTTTAAAACTGTTTTTCGTCTCTCCTAACCCCTCCTTACAAGTACAATGTAACTGTTTCTTTGTTTGAATATAAAATGCTTTTTTCACTCGCTCACCGAAATTTGAAATTTAGTGGTGTTTTAGAAGAATATGAAGAAAATTATAAATGAATCTACATGTCATCATAAAAGTGCTGTGAAAATTAAAAGAATTTAAAATTTCAAAAAGGCTAAAATACATCAACTAGGGAAATTTAAATTACACGGAAAAAATAAATAATATCAATTCAACGTAATTCCTAGAACGATTAATTTAATATATAGTGGGTATCCGAGACTTTAAAGGCCTTATCGACCGTCAAAAAGATTAAGTACTTATTTTGGGAAAATAATTTACTCTATTAATATCTCGATAATGCCCAATTTTCGCGAAATCAGCGGAGAGAGTTTATCTAGGCGAGAGCATATTCATTTTCCATGAAAAATGTTTAGTTGGGAAAATGCGAAAAATCGCTCGACAATAATATCCCTCCACGGAGATGCTCACGCTAATCGACAGTCCCTCTCTCAAAGCGACCGAACGATTGATTGTTGACTGCAGAGGTCCCTTCAAGGGTGGCTTCTAGAAGAGCTGGTGTGATGGGACTCGAATCCATAAGTCACAATTCTGGTTTGGTCACCAGGAAAGATTAAGATGATAGGAGTAATTACATCGGATGCTTGAAAGATTAAGATGATAGGAGTAATTATATCGGATGCTTTAAAGCATGAATGATAATTATTATGTTTCGGAAATCGATTTATGGTTTTGTTCTCAGGATGAGTTTCCTTTTTTGTTCTTTTTCAAAAAATAATATCGCACGTTTGATAACGACACAAAATTTCTATCATCGAAACAAAAATTCTTTTATTTAACGACACAAAATTTCTTCCTCCTGAATGCTCGAGCTAAAAAGTCCCAAGAGGCGAATTAGTAGAGGATGGCGGACGGACGGCAATGAGAGGCGGCAGGCAGCTGACCGGCCGGCCGGCTAGTAAAGAGGGCAAACGATTTTTTTATTTCTCATTTCTGTTCCAAAAATAGAAAAGTGGAAACTTTTTACTTTTCATTACTGTTCTAAATTTATTTCTGAAATCAAAATTTGTTCAAGAAATAGAAAAATGAAATTGCGTTACCAAACGGATTTTGTTCTAAACATATTCTCGAGAACAAAAAAATAAAATAATAGAGAAACAAAATGGTTATCATGCATGCCCTTAGAGGATTCCTCAAAATATTAAGAATCTTATGGATAAAGCACATGTTTGATATTATATTGTACTTGTATAATCATTATATTATCTTTTTTTTATAACTTTGCTAAACAAATAGCAAATTTATGTAGACTAATAAATGGACACGTGTGTTGCACGTGATAAGACAATATATTTCCTTCAATATGCAACCTTAAACGTGTTTTGAGAGCTTCATTTGATTGCTAGGGTTATTTAATATATGGCACTTCTTTGATTTAGTAAAGGACAATGAAAAGACGAAAAACTGACGTCTTCATATTGTCAATCACACGAAACACAATTGTTGATTATCTATCAAGTCATTTTGTGAAAGCATTAACTTTTTTTAGCAAGAAATGAGAAACACTCGTTACAAAAAGAGATATTAACAACAAATATATATAAGACAACAAGTCAACACAATGGAAACAAAAAATGTAAAAATCGAGCATATTCTTTTACTGACAACAGAGGGCATTTTATTGAAATGATAGATTTTCTCATAGTTATTCGTTCAAAAGTTGATTGAAAGACACTATTTGCATGAATAGTCATGTAGTATGAAAAGATGCAACTTTTATATGAATAGACATACTAAATAATTTTGAAACACAATAATTAATGATAAGAGATAATACAACAACACATTGAGCGAAAAAGTGTAGATTAAGTTGAAATGTCGTGCCTTGTACTATGATATCTGTATAGAGAAAATTGAAAACACCAAATATTGAAATTTATGGGTAGTTGATACTATGCCCGCTCAAATCAACTCTTTTAACTTCTTTCAAACATATAAAGGTAAAAGAGCGTGAAAAAAGACAAGAATTTATTTCTAAAATAGAAAAGAAGACGACTTTGAAATGCAAATGAACGATATTACAATAAGAGGAATACTTTATGCTCTATCTTTTCCTATTCCTAGTACAAACTAAACACATGAAATATTATATTATTGATAAGTGCCACATAAGTATCTGACTGCATGTCCGATTCCTTGTTGTTTAGTGCCTTCCCGATCTTTTCCATCCTTTTGCCATTCTCTTGGAGTAGTGTAAGAACCACCTACTCTTCTCGTCAATGATCAAATTCCCTAGCACAACGCCCATCACAAACCGAACCCCAGCACTAATCAGCACAAATTTCCAATCTAAGTGGAACGGAGACTCTTCGCCAAGTTCTTCCTGGGGAGATGGTGGCAATGGTAAGTTATCCCCAAATGTTTTGCATTGATTTGGCAAAGGACTTCCACATAACCCCTCATTCATGGCAAACGAATCGATCGCATATGTGTTGAACTGATTCCTTTGTGGAATTGGTCCCGACAATTGATTACGAGAGACATCGAAAGATGAAAGAAATGTAAGTTGGGCTAGCTGTTGAGGGATCTCTCACAAGAGTTTGTTTCGAGAAAGATCTAGAGATTCCAGCTTTATCAGATTTGCGAACGAAGGCGGGATGGAACTTGTGAGAACGTTGTTTGAAAAGTTAAGCAAAATAAGTGACTTCAAATCTCCAACTAGATCGGGTATATGTCCTTCGAATTTGTTATTGGAGAGGTCAATTTGCATAAGTGCATAAGGAACCTTCAAATATTCCCTTTCTGTGCCTTTATTCGTCAATTTCATTCCAAAATTGATAGGTATGACAACTGTATACGCGGACATAGGGAGCTCTTCATCAGTATTCATATATTCCAACTGATCTTGACCTTTAATTACTTTCATGGCATGGAAACTCTTCAACAACTTGGAAGGAAGCTCACCATTGAAACTATTGTTGGAAAGGTCCATGATATGCAAATTGCTAAAGTTAAACTGGCTTCCATACGTTTCTATTGGACCATGGAACTTATTGGATTTCAAGATAACAGCTTCTAGCTCGGTCAACTCTGATAGCCGTAGAGGGAACCCATCGAGGATTTTATTGTAGCCAAGGTTCAAATACTCTAGCTTTTTACAATTTGCCAAAGATCTTGGGACAGGCCCTTGTAATTGATTCTCTGTGAGGTCCATAATCTTCAACGCACAACCTTTGGGGTAAGCATGAGGAATCATGCTCTCAAGTTTATTTTTCTCAAGATTCAAAATTGACAAAGAATCGATATTTCCCACACATGAAGGAATTGTGCCATTTAGACTATTGCCGGACAAATCCAGAGTGACGAGGGATCTCCCACTACAAATAGATTGGATTTCTCCAAAGAGGAAGTTGTTGGAGATATTGTAGTAAACTGCCGATGGAGTTGGACTAGGGAGTTCTGTCTTGAGCCGGTTAGAACTATTGTCAAGGTAGGTCAACTTGGGTAGTGGCAGATTGATCCGATTATTTCCAAAGCCAGTTAGAAAATTGTGGGAAAGTTCTACCTGCTCCGAGGTGTCTTTGCTACCATTCCGCATCCACATAGGAATACTCCCTCCGATTTTATTGTATGAAAGTCTTATCATCCTTAATCCGTTTAGGTAGCCTGAAAACTTTGGGAACTCATGTAAGTTGCATGAATCTAAAATTAAAGTGGAAAGTTTTGGCAGAGTGGTATTGATCTCGGTCTTGCTGACAAAAGATATGTTGTTGAAGGACAAATATAATCTTCGCAATTTCTTGAGCTTGTGTAAATCCACGGTGCCACTCAAATTATTCCAACTAAGATCAAGACTTTCAAGATCCTTGAGTTCCCATAATGAGTTTGGAATTTCACCTTGCAAATTGTTGTAATCAAGGTCAAGTGAAAACAATCGCATCAAGTTCTCAAATGAAGATGTGATAGGACCACTTAACTGACAATCTGCCAAATGTAAAGAAACAAGCACGGTTAGTTTGGCTATCGTTTTTTTTTTCTGGTTAAAGAACATTGCTATTAGATGAACTATTACCTCCAAGGGACAAATAGGTGAGTTTCGCCAAGTTGACAAACCAATGCCCAATACCACCGCTAAAATTGTTGGAACGGAGATCGAGAAATGATAGCTGGGTAAGATTGGCAAAGAAAGCAGGGATTTGACCATGAAATTTATTATATAATAAATCCATACAAGTAAGCCGAGAAAGATTACCCATTGAAGTAGGAAGTGAACCAGAGAAATTACAATCTCCCATTGATAACTTATTCAAGAAAACAAGGTTTCCGATTGAAATAGGTATTTCCCCGGAAAAATTCGTTCCCCAAGAGACAATGATTTGAGGGGATTACCCTAATGTAAGTCGGGAATAAAACCGGAAAGGTAATAATTGCCTCTAATGTTGAGGGCTTCTAGATTTGGTAATTGAAAGATGCTTACCGGAAATTCTCCATGCAATTCACATAATCTAAGTTTAAGCAACTTCAAAGACGAGAAGTTTGCAAGTACACGAGGGAGTGGTGATGACATGTTTATAAAAGAGAGATCAAGTTCTTTGAGCATAGTTAAGTTTTGAAGAAAGTTGTCTATGTTGGGCATCTCAAGACTATTCATTCGATAAAAACCAGGAATCTCAAGATCCCACCCAGGATTCAAATCAAGAGAAACTAGTTTGGAGAGCTGTGAGATATCCGAGGGGACTTTTCCCGAAAAGTCTGAAACAGAGAGATTAAGGTATTGTAACTTGGAAAGATTGCCGAAGCCGTATGGGATTGAAGAAGAGTTGAAGTCATTACAAGCAAGAGTAAGTGATTCCAAGTGGAGTAGGTGAAAGAGGCTGGTGCTAGAAGATAAATTACCAAAGAGAGCTGTGGCTAAGGTCGAGGCCTGTCACATGACCGGTGGCCTCATCGCACTCGACGCCATCCCATGAGCAGCAATCACTATGTCCATCTAGTGACCATGATTCAATCTTCGGATAAACACACTGAAAACCTGTCTTGTTGGTTTTGAAACTTCGCTTGAATTCCATCAAGGCTGAGCTCTCATCTGGATGGCACAGTGGCTTAGCAAGTGAAGTATGAATCGTCACGAGAAGGACAATCCATGTACAAAACATACAGAACAACAAGGGTGCCATATTTTTGTTTTGTTATTATGCTTTTTGGTAGAGTTGGTTTTCAGTAGAGAAGCTTTTTATAGGCAGCGATAACCAATTCGATCGTGGAAATTTCGTTGGCCATTCAATCACCATCCATACCCATCTGAAAGGACACTTGAGTTTGATTGAATAAAGAGTCGCAATTGAAATTAAATATCCAATAGACCCGTGCTATACACGGCCAAAGTCTTAGGATGTGGATTGACTGGGCTTTTATGCTTTTGAAGATGTCGAACGTTTGTAACTTCTTGATAGTGTGTTAATTGACACATTTTCAGTCCCAAGGATTCGTTATTACTGAATGAAGAGTGAGTTTTCTTTTACACCAACACTTGTAAATTTTACTTATACAAAGAGAAAAATTTTGTTGACTTTTTTATTATTTTTCAGTGGCTACGGTGCCACCAAACGTACCATTTCGTTCTTCCATATCGAAATTGGAAACTTCCTCATGAAATAATTTGATGATTAAGGATAAAAATCTATTTCCTTGTTATTGATATGTCTAACAATTAAATTAGTAGATTATTTACTTTAACCAAAAAAAAAATTAGTAGATTATTTACTGTTGATTTTCCCTACCGATGCTAGGACTGACTAACAAAAATCTTTAGTGTTCTTCATTATTCATCGTTTATTTCTTTTGTGATTTCGTATTGATATAATGGTAAGATCCAGTTAGTTTCGGCATTAATTTTTACAACATTAATCTTCTCGGACTCTACTAGCTTCCGAAAACTAGAATTTGGAATGAGTACATCTCCTATATTAGATTCTCTATGACAGCCAAGACGTCAAAGTTAGTGCCACTCGGCACATAGTCACAGTCACAACAAGCATTATCACGTGTATCTTGCCGATACAAATGTTAATTTATACAATGATATGACATGATTTTCTAGGGGAGAGAAAGCAGTTTGAAAGATAGAATATGGAACAAGCGTCTCCATAATAGCCAATGGAAAACATGAGTTGACATGAAGTAAACATAGATAAAAATCTTAATTCAATTACAACCATTCTCAATTCAATCTAGACACGCAGCATTACATAATAATCAGTGTCACATAAATATATGACTACTACATGCACAATTCCCGATCAATCAGTGCCTTCCTGATCTTTTCCATGCTTTTGCTATTCTATAGGAGCAGCGCAAGAATTCCTATCCACAAAAATTGCTAACCATAAAGCTATGGCATTGCTATCTCCTCTGGCTCTTCAATGACATCCGTGCTCTAATAACAAACACAAAAATTTTGATAGTTCAATGTGTTATGCCAATGCGAGATTGGCCTTGATACGATTCAAGAGGAGTTCGGAATAAGTGGAGGAGATTCTCATTGCATTTATCCTTAGCTTGGATCACGGTCGTCACTAAATGGAAATGGAGATTACTGCTCATGGGATGGTGCGGAGTGTGACGAACTTAACGATCATGTTGTCAGCCTCGAGCTAGTAGCATAATTTCTACCAGTCTTTTTAATCTAATCTGGTGTGAAGAGAAATTAGTTAAGGGGTGAAGACGAGAAATGTTTGGTTAAAATTCCAAAATCTAGGTGTTCTTATTTTGTCATAACTTCTAAGGCCTAAGAAGGTATTTATTAATGAATTCTTCAGTTTTAGTGTCAATGACCTATCTCCAATCAGATCAAAGAAGCAAAATTTATTCTGTACGCGAAATCTGACTCGAGATATCACCCAATACAAACAATTGAAAAATCCATATATTTTGGGCATAAAATACTGGCACCTTCAATTGATCTAGCCCCTTGACTCTCTGATGGGTCAATGTTTCCAAAACTTCTTATAAATGGATCAACAATCAACATGAGAAACCTTTCTGGTAAAGTGATGGTTAAGATTCATCATACTATTTGTGAATGTCTTGCCATAGATGTTTTGCAATTTCAACATATTGCCTAAGTCTCCCTGCTTTTTCTTTCTTAAGTAATTTGAGAGTTAAAAGCAAATAGGCTTTTTTTTTCCAAAAGGGAAAAAAAATGGTCACATCCACAAGCGACAAATTAGGTCACATTCTCATGCATATCGTTATTAATAGTTCATGAGCAGTCATAATTGCATAATTGGCCCTCTTAAATGGCATCTCATAGCATGGTCATACTGCCATTGTTGTTGGTCTTTTCTACTCCTCATGGTGTCTCCTCTCTACTTGCTGGGGTAGTCTGCCCCCTTAAACCCTAAATCGCTCTCTTGGACTTGGCCACCTTCCGCTCGATTCCACTTTGGAGCTAGGGCTTCATTTGGGTGCTTTGGAACCCTCCTCTCCTTTTGACCTTCTTGTGCTCAGGTGGGTCTGCCTCTAAATCATCATCTTCGACTGGTTTTCTTGGATAGAGGAGAATAAAGCTGAGGCCTCAAGATGGCCGCCCTCTGTAGGCGCCTGGGAAACTTATGGCCTGTGAAGAAAGTACTGATGAGAAAAGACTAGGTTTCTGCAGAAAAAATCATAGAAAGCAAGCTTACGCTCTTTGGTAAACTCCTCGAAAACCCTAACTTTAACTTCCAAGCCTTCCAAATCACAATGAGGAAGGCCTAGCGCACTGAAAGGGTGAGTTTCGAGAACATGGATGCATGCATTCTTGCCATTACCTTCCATACAGAAGCTGATCTCGAAAGAGTTATGGACTCTGGCCCTTGGAGCTTTTCGAATCACCTCCTTATCCTTAAAAAATAGGTCTTCCTCATGATTTTAACCTCCATATGATTTTAACTTGTGTGAATTTTGGGTACAAATCTATGGATTACCCTTTGAATGCATATCTGAGGAAATATTAACAAGTATAGCCAGCACTATCAGAGACATTACCGAGATAAGAATGGAGCAAAAAACTACCTCAAACAGAAACAGTAGTAGAGTGAAGGTTGCCCTGGATGCCTCCAAACCCCTAATCCTAGGTACGCTCTCGAACTACTAAGAAAAAGATTTATGGGTGGCCTTCAAAATAGAGAGATTACCTCATTATTGTTATGCTTGCGGGAAAATTGGGTATTATGCAAAGTTATGCCAGGAGGTCCCTTTTGATGAGGATAAAATGGAGAATTATCGGTGTGGGTACTGGTTAAAGGCCGAAGCAAAGGAGTATAATCCTTATTAGAGAATCTTCAATGGAAAAATGGAAGAAAATAGCATGGAAGAGGGGGTTATCCCTGAAACTCCTGCTAATGCCACCTTGATTGAGATAAGCGAGGAAAACCTCAGTGTGGAAAAACCACAACCAGAGAGGGAGATTACCCATAAGAGAAAAGGGAAGGAAATCTGGTCTGGGGAGGGGAGCTTGATGCAGGAACAAGCTTTAATACCTGTGTCTTTCTCAAAATTATCTCCAGTTGTGGCCTCTATGAGGCCTTACACTCCCTCTTTGGCGCTTCAACCTGTAGCATACATTAAAAAATAGAAAAAAAAAGGGTGCTAAAACTCTAACCAGCAAGAAACAAAGGATGTATAGTCAACAAAACTGTTAGGGAATGCTGGAAGACACTGAGTTGTTGGAGGTACCAATTCTGTTGATGGAAGAAGCAAACAAATGGGCTTTGGTGGCTAGCTCTATTAAGCCACCGGGAGACATATGAAGATTTTGAGCCGGAACTGTCAAGGGTTGGGCACACCACTGACAGTTTAAGCTATTAGAGCCTTAGTGGCTCAAGAAAGGCCCGGTATCCTTTTTATTATGGAGACAAAGAATCAAGAACCAAGTTCTTTTAAGAATAAAAAAGAGGTTAAACTTTAAATACAGTTTCCTCGTTAATCCAGTGGGCATCGCAGGGGGCTTGGCTTTATTTTAGAATGAGGAATTTTCCATTGCTGTGGAGTCCCATTCCATGCATTTCATAGATGTGGTTTGCAAATCATAGGATAACAATCAATATATGAGAGCGACCTTTGCGCATGCTCCTTCTAAGTTTCAGGAACGTGTCCTGTTGTGGGAAGAGTTATGCAGAATCAGCCTTTATAATATCCTCCCATGGGCTTGTATGGGCGATTTCAATGAGGTCCTCTATCATTGGGGGAAAGTAGGGTGAAGATTGGCTGAACCTTTTCGGCTTAATAGACTCAGGGAATTTTTGAATTCATGTGAGTTGATGGATATGGAAAGTAAGGACTGTGCTTTTGCTTGGGCAAACAACAGAGAAGGGGCTGACTTTGTCAAAGAAAGACTAGATAGGATCCTTTGCTCTACGGATTGGAGAACTCTCTTCCCAAATGCGGAAGCCTTTATCCTACCAGCAGTTGGTTCTGACCATTGCCCAATTTTATTATCCTTCGATCCCAAACCAGCAAAAAGAAGAAAAAAAATTTAAGATGGAGGCTTTTTGGGTAGAGGATGAAGAATTCACACCGACATTT